TGGCAGGAAGGGAATCTGGCACAAAAATAAGTGGCAGCTGCCTGCTGTGATGACCCCTTGTGACTAAGAAAGCTGCCATAAATAACGATAACAAAAAGAAACTTTGAAATTTATTTTAAATCTCATGTTTAACAATTTCCTGCTGTGTTAACCTCTTGTCTTGCTTGCAACAGTGTTGCATTTCACTGTTATATTTATCTTCTCTATCGATTTTTACCACCAGTTCATCATTATCATCATCTGATAACGTCTCTGACTGGAGCAGGCGGCACTAATAGGGATCATTTTGTGCAGAAGAAGAGTCATATGATGCATGAAACATCTCCTTTTATTTCAGTGCGCACCAGTCTGAAGCAGTGAATGGTAGAGGACTGTGAACGCTCATCAAAACGTTCCTGTGTGCTTAAAAACTTAAAGAAAAACAATTAAAAAATGCAGGAAGCATCTTGAGTTTGAAATCAGAGATGTCAGCATTACAATCCTGAGCAGCCACTGGTGTTTGTGTTCGATTATTTACTGCTTCATAACTTCATTTCAGTCTGTCAAATACCAATTTGACCTTTCAAAACGCCCAATGTTACACTTTCTCTCACAAGTATATCTGGTTATATTTTGTGCTTTTAGCAGCTCTTTGCTCTGATTGGAGGAGGTCTTTCGCGGCATTTCATCCCACTCTTTTCTTTTTTTTAAGTACCTGCTTAACCGGTTCCGTCATATCAGCCTTTACTGTACTCTACTGCGGCAACATGTTGTAACAGCATTGAAAAACAGCATGAACCAAATGACAAAATGACAACTGGTGCAGTGCGTTGGCTCCTGCACTGGATGTGTGTGCGGCTCAGAAATAGCAATGCCTTCTTGGCGCCGTTAGTCTACTGGGGGCTGTGCTGGAACAAGTCTGATCCACAGACGTTCCAGTACTTAACCTACATCAGGGATGAGCGGCTAAACAAATATAACAGGACACCGTGACTGGTGTCCAGAGTCCATGCCTAGGGAGGTCACGGTTGGCGCCACACGATGTAGCAGCGACATGTTTGGCAGAGCTGGTCATAATATTTTGGTTTGTCTTGATATACAGAATTGCTTCTTTGAGCTGTGGGTTTGCAGTTTTGATTTTTTTTTCTGTATACAAAAACAAATAGACTTTAATTCGTGTGTGTTTTGCCGAGTTGCATAACTCAAATTCCTGTGCCGGCTTTGTGTGCTACGGCC